TCCAGACCAGAAGGCAAACTTCGCACCAGCTCTGAGCTGATAGTGATAGTGGCACCAAACAACTGACATAACCTTGGGAAAACCTTAAAATCTGCAGACACCAGAAGTGGCCAACAGTAAATAACAAAGTGAGCAAGTTGGCAGCAGAAGCTCTGGGAGAGGTCCCCTGCTTTCCAAATGCCACCTGCCTTCCTGATGCAGCTGAGCCTGTACAGCCTCCCACATTCAACTCCTTCCCCATGCCATGGGGACAGGACATGGACGTCATGGTCTCTGGTCCAGCACAAACACAGCAAGTGTCCCACAGACCTTTTCCAGGACTTCTCTCTCTCACAAGTCCCCAGTACCTCCCTCCTTTTCTGTCCTTGATACCGCAGCCCAGGAAGGTGGTTTTAGCAGGGTTCTGCATGTTCTAAAGACCTGCTAGGCAAGTAATGTTGTCACTGGATAGTTCCCAACCTGCAGATTTAGCAACTGCATGTTCTCCTCCATCATCCAGGTCATTAATTGAAATGCTGAAAAAACCCAGACCCTGACCAGATGTCCCTGAACTTCACTCAGCAGACCCCTTCCTTTTCAACAGTGAGCTGTAGATAACTCTCTGGGTATAATTATCCAATTGGGTTTGTACCTACCAAATATCCTATCTACATCGTCCTTAAAAGACACTTAAATGGCAGCCAGGGCTCTTCTTCACCATGCCCTTACCCTGTCGTAGAGGAAAATTGGATTACTTTGACCAGATTCTGTTCTTGACAAGTCCATATGGCTCCTGCTCTACTCCACTGCTTACAAGTAGCAAATTTATTTGTTCCAGAATTTTTTGGGTGGTGGGTGAGTGAGGGGATTTAACTATCAGCAGTTCCTGGCTTTTGACCCCAGTCTCCATTTTGAAGGGAGAATACAAAAGTTGCATTTCCCTGCCTCACTGTCCACCGATAGTTCTCATAGATAACAGCAAATGTTTCTGGGATTGCTTTGCATGAAGTTCACCACACCCAGATGGTCTGAAAAACTCCTGTTTATCTAAATACTCTCTTAACTGCGCTTTCCTTATTCAAGGCCAGACTTTTTGCCCTGTCAGTGGCATGGCTTGTGCTATCCATCTCCCCTGAGCTGTCTTTGTCTGAAGGCTAATGCAAAGTGTATCAAGCCGTTGAGTCTCCTCAGTGGCTGCCCTCTCTGCTGAAGAGCAGCACGACACTGTCCTTGGTTATTCTCTTACTGTTAATACAATGGAGACTTGTTTTCTGACATCTCTGGCTTTTACCACTGTCTCTTTATAGCGCTCCAAACTGCAGGCTGGAGTTTGTAACAACTTTGGTGATGACACTGCACTGTGTGGTGCCATCCACACGCTAGAGGGAAGGGACACCATGCAGAGGGACCTTAACAGGTTAGAGAGGTGGCCCTGTGAGAACCTCATGAGGTTCAACAGTGCCAGGGGCAAGGTCCTTCACCTGGGTCAGGGCAATCCCGAGCACCAGTGCAGGCTGGGCAGCGAGTGGCTTGAGAGCAGCCCTGTGGAGAAGGACTTGGGGGTGTTGGTGGATGAGAAACTGAATATGAGCCAACAATGTGCTCATGGGCTGGTGGCGGAGGCCAGTGGGGTGCTGTCACCTGGTGGCAGCAGTAGCGTACGGCTGGAGGTGTCCAGAAGAGAGGAAAAGCCTCCGGGCAAATCCTTCACCTCTACTGGTCCTTGCTGGCTCTCGAGTCTTGTTTTGCCACCTCTTGGAGCCTGGGATTCCGTCTCCTCCTTGCCCTTGAAGTCTTTCCTGCTGCAGTGTGTCCCCTGCCCTGCCTGTGCCAGAGTCACAGGGCTGCTCCCCTGCACCCTGTGTCTTCCCCACATCCCTCTGGCCACCCCTAAGCTCCAGCTACACAGGGGTCCCCAAAGGCACAGTCAGCATGGACCATGGCTGCCCCTGAGAAACAACTCTGGCACAAGAGAGGCAACTAATTGTCGTCTGTGCCTTCAAAGTGAAAAGAACAAAAATAGACAAAAACTCAAGATATGCCCCCTCCAAAACAGATCTGTCGGCTATTTCAGCTCACCAGCAACACAGAAGAAGAATTTTTCTTCACAGTGTACCAGGAGAAGTCATTTCCACAAAGCTTTAGGGAAATAGCACTGACCTGGGGAAGGAGGATGCTGTTATTATCTCCTCGAGTCCTAGCGAGCTCCACCACGCTCCTCACACCTGCAGCTCAGCACTCCAGACAACTTGCCAAACAACAGTAGCAGAAACATAAAACACAGGAGAAATCAAAGCCGTCCTCTGCCTAGGTCTGGGCAATTTATTGTTATTTCTTGTTTAGTCGGAGACGGCAGCAGGGTGAAGGGGCTGATGCTAGGTCCACGGTGTGCATTCCCTGGGGTGGGTGTAGGGCAGGTGGGATAAGGCAAGCCCTCCTGGCAGCGTCGGAAAGCAAGCACTGTCATTCCTGGAGAAGGGGTGGAGGCCATCTGAAAAGCTGCAATGCTGCTTGGAGAGGGAGAGACGGTCCCTACAAGGCACTCTCAGCAAACGCTCCTTCTGCTGGGATGGTTCCTACCCCATGAAAGATGTTTCTTACCCCAGAAGCCTACATGGATGGACCAGTAGCAAAGAACTCTTCCAGAAGTGACACTTTCTGGAGATGCAGAGCCCTGCTCCCAGTGCTCTTCTCTGCACTGCTGAGCGAGGCAGTGCTGGCAAAGTGAGGGTGGTCAGACAGTTGACCTCATCACTTCTGAAGCACCAAGGCAGTTTAGGCAGAAAAGAGCAATGGTGGAAATTCATCACTTCTTCAATGCTCTTGTACTTGTGGGGATACCTAGTTCAGCTGAGGGAGCAGCTGTAGGCATGTGTGAGGGGGGAGCTAGTGGTTGCCTCACTGGGACCATGGCTGTCACATAAATTGCCACAAATAGCACCATGTCCCTCTAATTTCTAGTTCCCCAATGGTGAGCAAAGGGTCTGGGGCAGCAGGACTGGCTGCTGGTGACTGAAGAAGAGACAGGTCCTGCCGGACACTTTGCTGTTGCTAACCCTTGGGAAGACATAGGACTGAGATGGAGAAAGCAACATTTCTCTGACGGTGCAGAACAAAGGTCAGGTACGAAAAAGGCATCAAATAAATCAATCCATACATGACAGCATTTATTAGTCATTTTTACACATCACACAGTCGCAGATGCACCCTCAGAGGAGCTGACCCAGGGCTGGGACCACAGGCAACGCCTCAAAGGCTCTGCAGAGCAGAGCTGGGCCCTGCTCAGCTCCCAGGGTCTGAGGCAGTAGCTCTTCAGGTTAAATAGATTTTTTAATATTCTACAAGGGGCACACTCAGGATAACAGCCATTAAAGTTCATGGGATTCTGTTCCTTGCACCACAGAGGAGAAGGGAGAGCCTGGCAGAGCCCTTCATGTCTCACTTTATCATCCCATCACCCAGAAGCTCCTTTAAGCTGGATCACTCGCATACCAGTTCAGCATTTATAGCAGATCAGGTAAGGCATTAGTCAGGTCATTGCTTGGGCTCAATTCACAGTCTTTCTAGCCGTATGTTTTGTGGTCTTAGGAGAAGAGGCTGGAATTTGGCTGCAGGAGGCATCACCACTCATCTTCTCACCCAGGACTCTTCTGGGGAGGTCCAGAGGGTGTGTGGCAATTGGAAAAGACCCCATGGAACCCCTTCCTGGACCTTCGTGTCACAAGCTTCCCCTGGGCCTGTCAGCCCCCTCCTACGAGCAGGGGCCAGCGGGGCCAGCGCTTACCCCAGCCCTAGGGGAAGGGAACTGAGGAAGGGGCAGGGGGTCAGGGTCAATATTACTGCTACACTGATAAAGCCCAGACTGGTGTAAACTAGCGAAGAGAATCATCCTGTGAGGGTTTCACCTGCTAGTCAACAAGCTTGAGATCCACATCCTCTACTTCTCTGTTTGAGGATACAGGCTACTTTTGGAGTTGGAAGATGACTCAAAGGGGAAGGTGTCACCACTCTGGCCTGGGTGAGAAAAGGATGAGCATGCCTGCCTCGGGCATGGTGAGCCATTAGTACTGCACAGCCCTCTGCATCTGCACAGCACCTGACCACAAAGCCCTCTTTAAGCAGCCCCTGTCCCCACGTATTAGTACAAAGGGGTCAGTGTTACTCCAAACTAAGAGGAGAAGCTGAGGTACAGGGATGGAAGAAAGGACTTGTGCAAAGCCATGGTACAAACGTGTGACAGGGTTGGTCCCAGAGCATGTGAGTGCCTTGGCCCACGTCCTGTCAGTGTACAGAGGCAGAGCAGGATCTTCATCACGGCCCAGGACAGAACTGAGAGGGGCACCAGATGAGGTGGGGAATGGTTCCTCTTCTCTCTATGTTAGCCATGTAAGCCTAAAACCAGCATCATATTGGTTAGAAGCAGCCGCTGGTTTGAGTGGGAAGAACACCTCTGAAGGGGCCTTACAAGTTTGGTTCCAGGATGAAAAAGACATTCCTGTTTCCCTTCCCTGCACAGCCTTAAAAAACAGCAGGGATTTTCCAGTTCAGTGCTGTTTCCACTGGCAACCTACTGGGGTTGTCCCGCATGTGGAATAACAGCAGGTTTGGGCTTTGCTCTTCTGCTCTATCTCAGAATTGGGGACCATGGAGCAGTGCTGTTTTGAGAGAAGTTTCCCCTCAGATTTCCTCTCTAAGCAGTCCCTGGGAAGAAGCTGAGGCACAAGGCAAACCTGAGTGATGCAGAGAAAAGGAAAAAGCAGAACAGCAGCTTCATGGTCCCCAGGCCCCAGCCACCTCCACTCTCCTCCTGTTATCAGCCTGTGACAACCCACACCTCACTCTGGCATGCCACCCACTGCAAGGCAGACACACCAAAGGCCAATGCGCAAGTTAATCTGAAGGCTGTTGACCAGAATGACCTCCTCCTAGACCCCCCCACACCCATCCCATCTCCAAATAGGAGTGAAAAGTTTCCCCTTTCTCTCTTTCCCCCTTCCCAGTCCCTTGCTCCCTCCCTGATTTTATTCCCTCTTTGATTTCTCAGTACTACTCAGATATGTCTTCCAGAAGAAGTTGCAGAAGAGCACCAGCACACTGATAAACACCGCGAATGAAAGGAAATAATTTGTCCATGTGATAGGGCAGACCTTATCATCTATCCAGAAGATGGTGAAGATGCTGATTATTAGATAACCCATTATCTGAGCTATCTGTGTAGTGGTGACTGCCATGCTGATGAAGCGGGGTACCTGGAAGCCTGCCGTCTTCACAGTGTAGTAGGAGTACATGATAGCATGGACACTGAAGTTCAAAAATGCAGGCCAGCCAATGCCAGGTGACATATCCTTATAGCCATGCCAGCCAACAATCATTGTAGTAGCATGGTGGTACCAGTGGAGGAAGATGAGCTTCTTTTTCCGGAGAACAAGGAACACGGTGTCACCTTGGGTTGAGAGAGAGGTGTGTCATTAGTCAGGTAAAAGTACAGTAGTTGCACAAGTTTTCATATGAGGCAGAACAAATGAGGAGCAATGTTGAAGACCTTATGTGGCTTGATCCCCCTGAAACCATAGGTTCCCACTGGAATCATGTGTACCAATAAAGCCCATGTAGGCATCTACCTGCTAGCACATTTGTGGTACGAGAGCTCCTTGTCTTAGGCTTGCTTACTCACACAGCACTTCAGACCAGCTCTTCCGTAGTTTTGGAAACTGGGTAGAAAGCCTAGTCCTCCCCTGCCTGCCTGCTGCCCCCTTACTTCAGTCATCCCAGTGCAGAATTGCATAGTTCAGGTGCTGGCCTGGGTATAAAACCAGAGCAATAACATCAGGCTGCAATTCTGTGCAGAGCGAGTGTGTTTTCTGGGTTGAGCAACAGCAAGCAAGAAAATTATACATGCAAGGCTAGACAGTCCTGTTCTCTGAATAACATTTAGAGAGACCTGTAAAAAAGCCTTGCTTGTAAAAGCAAAGAGGTTATGAAGGCATGGGATAATGAGAAATTTCAAACTCACCCAGTTCCAGGACTTTGCTCAGCACAAATAAATAGACCCAAAGCTTGGAGACAGGGTGGACATAGAAGGATTGGCTGCAGACGGTTTGCTTAAATCCCTTGGTAAAAAGGAGGAAGGACATTTGCTTCCCAATCCGAAGGGCCCCAATGGCACTGCAAGAAAACACAAGGACAGCTCTACACTTAGACTTCCGAGCAAGATTCAGACCCCTGTTTGCTGGGCACAGGCTTGCCCAAGACCTCTTGGCCAGGATTTCAAACACACATATACCTGCAAGGCAGAGCAGGGAAGGGCCATTGCTCACACCAGAACAACAGCAAGGCACAAAGTGTAAGTAGGTTGTGAGCCACCAACACAGCCCTTTAGCTTTCCTGGTGCCCTGAAGCAGCTCCTGGAGGATGGCAGCAGCTGAGGTCTGAGCAGCAAAGAATGCTCCCTTGTTACACCCTCTGCTCCTATTGCTTGAAGAGGCACTCGAGTAAGAGCTGCCACGTCTGGTCAGGAAAGGGGGGCAATTATCTCCTGACAAGGGCCAGCAGTGGGCGCCCAGGGAGCATTTACAACTTCCTGTGGCAGACAGTTCCTATAGCTTATGAGAAGAAATGTTCTTTTTTCTTTGTTATCAACCTATATGTTTCATCCACAGGAACTCATCTCCAAACAGACCACGAACGGTCATCCCTTGACCCTCCTCCCGTCTCCCACAGCTTGTGATTTTACAGAGCACTGCCATGCCCTAACCTCACAGAGGGCAACCAGTGTCCCTTAGACTTGACCAAAGTCAGCTTGTGCATGTAGGCAGAGATACTCCTCTGCAGCTCCAGAGGCAGTAGTCTAGTTTTGCCCTCTCCCACTGAACAGACTGAAAAGGTGTGGGGGTGAGAGTAATGTTGGAAAATCGACCTCTGCTTGTTTAATTACAAAATATGGGCTGGACAGCTTGCAAAAAGGTGTTCTAGATTGATCTTGCATGGCTGTATAAACAGTTCACTTACCCTTAGGGGACAGGACCTCCAAGGGGAAAAAAAGACTTTTATTTTCCTAATGACATAGTGATTACCTAGAATTTCCCATCAATTCAGTCCTTGGGGAAGATCTACACTTGTCTCTGGCTTTAGCAAAGGCTCTTACCTCAACAAGGCCAGACTGAAGGACCACAAGGTCAGTGGCAGGCGCAGGTCGTAGCCTGCCCGTTTCTTCATGAAATGCTGGATTCCAAAGATCAGGATCAGATAAGTCACAGAATAAAATAGAGTTCTGTGCCTGCAAGTAGAGGAGAGGGGACAGTTAGGAAAAGACAGCCAGATTGCTGTAGCCCCGGCAGGGCATTCTCACCAAGAAAAAAAACCATCTCCCGTGGTTGCATTAAGGCTGGACTTGGTATCTTGCTTCTGACAGTGAGCAGAGCTGGTGAAGAAAAACCCTGGGGACTGCAGAAAAGCAAGTGAACTACTACTCCATGGAGATTTCCACTAGACTTTGATGGGACAAGGTGGGATAGGGTAACCTGTGAGAGGGATCCTGAGGAAACACATCAATGCTCTTCATCCACTTACATACGAGACCCCACAGACAGAGGTGGCCCTTTGCCGAAAGAGGCCAGGTGCACCAGAAAGGCAGAGGCTCGAGGGCTGGGTGTTATGTCCCACTCCTTTCCATGGCTTTAGGGCTGCGGTGGCTGCCTGCGTCT